TAGACACCCAGGACCTTGTTTGTATATACGAGGGAGGGAACTGCTCCCCACTAAACAACAAACAACCCTGTCAGTGCCTTACCCTGCCACCCCTGGGAGCCTTCCATGTGCTGTAGCTGATGAGAACAGAGACACATGAGGCGGTTCAAGACTTGAAGGGCTCCCCCCACATAACAGGAAATGAGAGCTATATGAAGATAGCCATTTTACAAGAGAAAATGCACCGAATATTCCAGGAAAGGTTTAAGCACAGGGTTTTGTTTTGTTTTGTTTTGTTTTGTTTTGTTTTGTTTTGCATGAGAATCCTATTCAAGAGAATCTTGGAGAAAAAAGTAAGAAACACCAGAGAGGGGAATTGGGTTGTAATGAATCTGGACTCCGTTTTATTTATTCAGTATTTGTTTACTTTGTTCCCTTGAGTCAGTGTTTTAATCTTAGCTCAGACTGGCCTGGAGCTCACTATGTAGCCCAGGCTAGACCAAGTATCCAGAATGCAGGGATTACAGGTGTAAGCCGCCATGCCTGGCATTTAAGGTACCCAGTTCTGTCTACCTACCATCCTCTTTTATTTTTATTTTTAAGTGTGTGTGTGTGTGTGTGTGTGTTGGAGGGGTAGTACGCACATAAGTACAGCTGCCTGGAGCTGAAGTCATAGATGGTTAACTGCCCCGGTGTGGGTCCTCTGCAAGCGCAGCATGTGCTCTTAACTGCCGAGTCATCTCTGTAGCCCCTAGTCTTGTTCTGTGCGACAAGGTGTCATTCAGAAGGCCAGGCTGGCATAGAACTTACTGTGTAGACCAGGCTGTCCTTCCTCAAGGTTGGGATTGTGGTGTAAACCACCACTTCTTGCTCTGCTTTAAATTGTAAGTGCTCAGGGTGAACGATGCCTCCTTCGTATCTTTCTCTACCCATCTATACAAGCACCTACGCGGTCCCTGGCAGAGAGTCGGTCTTCAGTGACGATGCAGGGAAAATGAGCTGGTCTCACAGAGGATACGTAATCTGTGCCCGGCAGTCTCCTGGCTGCTTCTCACAACAGAGAAGGGGGAGGGGTCCCTCAGGACTTCCATCCACCCCTCTCCCTCTTTCCTCCTCTTCCTTCCACAAAGAATCCCAGTGCAAGGAGCAAATTGACTTAGATCAGGCTAGAGTATCAGCTAGAGAATTGGTCTTGCTGTTTTGTTCAGGACCTATCACTTCCAGCTCGTGCGATCTTAGGCTGCTTAAATACCCTTTGAGTTCCCTTCGGTCCCACGGCTTGCTCAGAGAGGGGCGATGAAAGGCATGTCTGAGGAGGTATATAAAGTGTCTGGGACTCCAAAAGGACAGGCGATGGCTGCTGTTATCGGTGTCATTGCTGCTCTTACTGTCGAAGTAGAAAGAGCGTTTCCTCCTTCAGTGACGGATTTTTGGGGCTCACATTGATATTATAAGCTGTTACCTTGTAAAAGGCCAGTGACTTATAGGGGTTGCAGTCGAGTCCAGCATTATTCTGTGAAAAAGACAGCCAGCTGGCTAAGGTCATGGGTATTCTGAGGTAGGGTTAGAAGATCCAAAATAAATAAATAAATAAATAAATAGAAAAGAAAAATGCCACTTAGGTAGGGTTCACTGACCTGGGAAAACAGGACTGGCGATTTAAAGAGAGTACTGATAAGTCAGTGAAGAAAGGTAGGGATGGAAGAGAGGAAAAGGATAAAGATATGGCCTAGGAAATATAGTTGTCGGGGGAAATGATAAGTCCAACAACTTGTCATCAGAGATGCACTTTTGATGGAAGGAAGAGGGTGTGCTGGTTATTTCTGTCACCTGGAAGAGGAAACCGCAGCTGGGCAATTGTCTCCATCAGATTGGCCCGTGGGCATGTCTGTGAGGCATTTTCTTTTCCTTCCTTCTTTGTTTCTTTCTATCTGTCCTATCCATCTCTCTTTTTCTTCTCTTTCTTCCTCCTCCTCCGTTTGCTTTTGTTTTTTTTGTGACAGGGCCTATAGAGTCCTAGCTGTCCTGGAGCTTCCTATGTAGACCAGGCAAGCAGGCACACACTCATAGATAGAGATCTGCATGTTTCTGCCCCTATAGTGCAGGGATTAAAGGTGTGTCTTGATTAATGACTGACACAGGAGGGCCCAGCCCACCGAGAGTGTTGCCACTCCTAGGTTGTATAAGAAAGCAGGCTGAGCAAACCATGGAAAGTGAGACAGGAAATGACATATTCTTCCAGTCTCTGCTTCGGTTCCTGCCTCCAGGTTCTAGCTTTGAGCTCCTGCCATGGTTTCCCTTGATGACAGACCGGAACCTATAAATCAAATAAGCCCTTTCTTCTCTCCAAGTTGTTGTTGCTCAGTGTTTTGTTATAGCAATAGAAAGTAAAGTAGAACAGAAGGCATAGTCCGTGTCCAAGGAGAAGCAATTCTGTAAGAAAGTAGACAGGTGTTGGAGGCGATTTAGGATGACTCAGTTTCCCTGGTTATAAAGTTGGAGTATAAATAGAAGCCTCAAGGATGAGGAGGTTGAAGTTGCCTTGAAGGTCTGAGTGTTCCAGTTGAAGAAGCCCTGCTTTGTATAGATAACCAGGCGTGATTAAAGGCAGAGGAGGCCTGGGCTGACTGCAGGCTGGACAGCCTGGCTCATGAGCCACATATAGAATGTGGTGCGGCTGTGGGAGTGGCCGGAAACCAGCAGAATGGAATGTGAGTGTCAGGAATGAGCAGAGAGGAACGTCTTGGTTTATGAGCTTTTTCTGCTTTGGCAGGCATTTAATTCTTGGCATCAAACTAATGTCATTCAGTGCTCAGTAACACACACACAGATACACATACAGAGACACACAGACACATAGACATTCCCAGCTCTATCCACATACACTAAATCCCCAATATTATACATATACATTCATACAACCTTCAGTCCCATATCCCCCACATTCAATCTCCAGAACCACACCCCTACACACACACACACACACACACACACACACACACACACGGTTGGGGGACATATTTCAAAGTTTCAGTGTCCTATGAGAGATCAAATCTTCTCTGTCCTCAGCACAGTTAGGGAAGTTAAATGGGGATCTAAAATAAAGTTTCCACTTCTTGTTTCAGAAACAGACGATGGCTGTCTGGGCAGAAACACATCAATATAATAACGTAATGAGTGCCTTTTAGTACTTATTAGGCCAGATGGTGGCCAGGAAATAACAGCACGTGTGGGATCTTCTGCTCAGAGTCCACTGAGTCACTATTTTAAGAAGCCCTATCATGTAATTGTCTCCTGAGTGCCGGGATTACACAAGTGGGCCACCACGTCTAGCTTGTGTTGGTACTGGAATCAAGCCCAGGGCTTCATGGATGCCAGGCAAGCACTCCACTAACTGAACTTCATCCCCAGGACTTTTTTTTGGCTTTTTAGACATGGGTTCGTGTAGCCCAGGCTGGCCTCAAACTCACTTAGTAGCTGAGGATGACCTGAGACTCCCAATCCTCCTTTATTCATTTCCCAAGTGCTAGGATTCAGGCAAGAGCTTCTATGCCTGACTTTCTGTGTAATTTAAAATAGTTTCTGAGTAATGGAAACACAAATTAGTAATATTATTCTCTTTTAAAAAAACTTCCTTGTAGTAGAGTGATTTGTGGTATGTACAACCTGACTTATGGACAATACAGCAAATAGTATTCATTGTAAACAACTCAACCAATTCATGGGTTAATGAAATGGAAAGGTAATTCTCAAAAGATTAAAGTACAATGACTAATCAATATATGAAAAAAGTTTAATCTCACTATTCCTCAGAGAATGCGAATTCAAACGACGTTGAGATTCCATCAAAACCCAGTCAGATGGCAGTCATTCAGAAAACAAATAATAAGGCATCCAAGTCTGTAATCACAGGGTTCAGCAGACACGGGTGGGAGGATCAGAAGCTCAGCATTGTCTGTAGCTACAGAGCCAGTAGGAAGCCAGCCTGGGAGGCATTAGAAACAAAACAACCAGCAATAAATACGGGAAACCTCTCTGGGCCTGGTGGTTCCTGGTTTACTTTCAGCACTCAGGAGGGAGGTGGAGGCAGGCAGAGCTCTGTGAATTTCAGGTCTGCCAGGTCTATATAGTCAGTTCCAGGCCAGTCAGGGCTATCCAGTGAGAACCTTGTATAAAAGAAAAAACAAAACAGAAACTGGGGGAAACCCCATCTAATGTCGATGGAAGTAGTATAGCAACTATGGAAATCAGCATGAAGGTTCCTCAAAGTATTCAAAACAGACATGTACTTATGACCCAATTGTACTACTCAGGGTACTTACCCATAAGACTCCAAGCCAACATGTCACCTCAACGTTTATTTTAGCACTAGCCACAATGGTTACGTGATGGCTCAAACCTAGGAGTCTATCAACATAGAAATGGATATCAAATGTGGTATATGCAATGAAGTTTTTTTAGTCATAAAAAAGAATGAAGTTATTGTTTTCAGGAAAACAGATGCAACTGGATACAATATTAAGCAAAGTAAGTCAGCCTCAGAAAAGTAAATATTGCATGTTTTGTCTTATTTGTGATTCTTAGGTTTTATATAGATATTTGACATTATGCATGTGCTATGGTTGAAGGTAGACGTGAAACTGTGGAGAGGAACAAAAGGAATTAAGGAGAAAGGGGGTAGGAGGAAGGGGAGAGGGGGATGGGAGAGGGGGAAATAACATGAAAATATACCTTAAATGAAAAATGTCCTTATGTAATATAGTACCATGTAGAACAAATATACACACATGAAAATAGAAAACAAAGCAACTGGTAGTCAGAAGGCAGAAAGTTAACTTAATTTCTGTAAATTAAAGGCGAGTCTGGTCTACATAGTGAGTTCTAGACCAGCCGTTGCTACACAGTGAGACATTGTCTCAAAAAAAAAAAAAACAAACAACCAAATCAACCAAGCAACCATATCTGAAAACAAAACACAACAACAACAATGACAACAACAAACCAAACCAAACAAACAAGAGTGGGGGAGGAGGAGAGAGTTCACATTTTATTGGTCTGCATCATGTTCATTCTCAATACAGCTTTTTATTTTTAAAATAGGGAATCTCATTTAAACAACAGCGAATTCATTATACTTGCAGGCAAAATACTCAAACACAAAAATAAAGAAATCTTCAAAAAATAAAAAAGTATTTCTTAATCAATGGGGGTCAGTTTAAGTATGGAAGATCCAGGTATTGAGAGCCTCGAGTGGTAGCTACATATTTAGTCCTAGCACTGGAGAAGCAAAGACAGGAGGATCTGTGAGTTCCAGGCCAGGAGAGACCTTGTCTTCAAAACGATAACAACTAACAAAAAAGCACAGAATGGTAGTATAAAAGGAGTTCCAACATTTGGGAGGAGAGGCAGGAAGATCACAAGTTGGAGATCAACCTGGGCTACAAAGTGAGAAGCTGTCACCAACTAAGAGCTTTAATATTAGGGCTCTTGAAAGAGACTCCTGTGGAGAGCCTTCTAGTCTCCCGTGACCTGCCTGTGACACTGGCATCCAATCAGCTACAAATAGCATCCTTAGAAGGATTCCTGCAGTATGCAGAATGGCCATTTGTTTGAATGGGGCCATCATGATTTTGCTTTTATCTCTCTAGTTTATTATTATTATTATTATTATTATTATTATTAATGAATTAAGGACAGGTTTTCAGGGCTGGGGATGAACCCAGGGTTTGTGCACACTAGGCAAGCAACCTACCACTGAGCCTCCCCACCAGGTCCAGAGTTTAAAACTTTTAAAAGAACTATAATAGTGAAAATGCTTAGAGTGGTCACATGCCTCAGCATATCCCCTAAATTGCTAGTGGAGTGTCCTGTCTCATGCTGATGGATGGGACACCAGTTTGGGCAGAGGGTGGGGGGAAGGGAGGAGGCTGGATGCTAATTTTTATTTTCATGAACTCACAGTATAGGCTTTGTGATGATTAAGATTATAATTTCCTACAATTGTTTTCTAAAGTGGGATTAAAAAAATTTTTGAGGTGGTAGGAACTTAACTGCAACAGAAATTAGCCAAGCCAAACAAGATTAAAACACTGCTCAGGAAACCTAGAATTTTGAACTAAGGACAAAGAAACAAAGAATTAGTTTTTGGCAACTTTGAGCTCAACAAGTACTTAAAAACAAACACTGAATTTTCTTTCTTCACTACACTGGTCCATGAAAGGCAGTTTTTGCCAATAGGAAAATAATAGGTGATATTTCTTTTTCTTTTTTTTTTTTTTTTTTGGTTTTTCGAGACAGGGTTTCTCTGTATTGTTTTGGAGGCTATCAGTCCAGCCCGGCCTCGAACTCACAGAGATCCGCCTGCCTCTGCCTCCCGAGTGCTGGGATTACAGGCGTGCGCCACCAACGCCCGGCTAATAGGTGATATTTCAATGCAGTTATTTTCTGAGTATGTCCTAAGAAAACCTCGGGAAAACATGACGGTAGATAGGCATGAATTAGAAATTAGAAATTGTGTCAGTCACAGAAACGGTAACAGTTTTGAAGCTAGAATTAAAATGTTCACTGTATAGAAGGAAAAAAGGACAAATGGTCAGAGTGAAATGAATCCCTTGCCCTGGAATACAAAGAGCTGAGAATTGATGAACTAACATTGGCACACTTGGGAGTTTGGAAAGTACTTAAAAAGTTAACTAGGAGCATGTGAGTCCTAAGGATGGAACTCATGTTGTCAGCCTTGGCAGGTGCCTTCTCCCAAAGAACCATCTTGCTGGTATAGATGACTGTGAGCCACCCACCATGTGGTTGCTGGGAATTGAACTCACGAACTCTGGAAGAGCAGCCAGTGCTCTTAACCTCTAAGCCATCTCTCCAGCCCCCTACACACGATTTTTAAAGCTTAGAAACATATTTCTGGGGGCTGGAGAGATGGCTCGGTTGTTAAAGGCACCGGCTGCTCTTACAGAGGACCTCGGTTTGGTTCCCAGCACCCACACTGGGTAGCACAAAATTGCCTGGAACTCCAGCTCCGGGCTGGCCTCCACAGGCACTGGCACACGTGCTACACAGACATGTAGGAATTCACACATACATGTAAAAAGAATGCATTTCTGGCTTTCAGGGTTTTATCTTTGGAAGATACTGCCAACTGTAGGATTGATAGTTTTTCACTGTTTACCTCTCCGATGTCCTGTTCCCCTCAGTGAGCCTTGCCTTGTTCATAACGTATTTTCCTTTCCGCTCCTATACACCTGACTTGTGTCTACTTTAGGCTGCTTATTATGTGTTTATGTTTTGCCTTTGGCTTACAAAGCAAAGGCACTGAAGATAAGGGCTATGAATTTTTTATTCCTGTCACTGGCTGGATAGGAGACAGTGAACATATTACTCAATAAGCAGTCCCTGGCTAACACAAGGCCATCCTCTGTGCTTTGCTTCCTATGCAGCCGACTTCTTGTGTACTCGTGCAAATGAAATGTTTACCTTGTTTCTTCTTGGACACAACTAATTGTCAACGTTTTATCCACCGTGAATCTTAACAAATTCCTGTTTTAAAAGTCACTAAGGCAACCGTTTCAGAAGCAGTAAAAGATGCCCACAGCTGGTTTATAGGAGCTAGTGAGCATGGGTAGATACAAAGTTACTACTCTCGAGCCAGATAGGGTTCCACATCGTAAAGATTTCTTTCCACTCATTTAACAGCTGAAGCACCAGTCAGGTTCTTCCACCCAAGGACCTACAAAAAGTAAATGGCAGGGTTGAGTTTCAGACATCCCAGCTCGGCCTGGTTCCAAAGGGCAAGGCAGTTTTAAGTGTCAAGTAGCTGTGAGAATCCAATGACATAATTTCTTGAAAAAGCACTAGGCACAATAGTTGGCAGTGGACACATGTTGCTTCCACACAATTTGCTCAGGGGCTGAAGTCGATTTCTTCAAATAGGAGGGGGAAAGAAAAACAGAGGAAAGAAAATTACATTGAGTTGATAAAATTTGTCTATAGTTCGAAGAAAGCTCCTGTCTAATTACAATAATCCCAAACCGGACTTCATATTTGCTCTAGGGGGAAAAAAAACCCCGACAAAAACAAACCATCTGGCAATGTTGCAAATCACAATGCCTAATTTAGAATAATTTCTATTTCAAAAGAGTGGGGGTAGGAAGTCGTCTTTGACCAAAAAGAGACTCAAGGAATACAGTAACGTATTCCCATGAAACTTCATTTCGTGCCTCCCCCACCCCAAAGAAGAGCGAATGCCTGTGGCCCGCAGGGAACTTTGCAGGGGGACTGTGGGGTCCCCACATTATCCGGGCCCGCCTGGAGCTTCGAAATCAAGGCGCTCGCTCGCTCGCTCCTCCAGTTTCCCCCTCTTGGGTCTCCCACAAGCTAACATCTTTGAAGAAAACAAAGCGGGACAACCTGGGCTCCTTCTGCAGAACCCCTCAGGTACCTGTCTGGGACCCGACGCCAGGGGTCGCGCGCCCCAGGGAGACCGAGGCCCCCGCCGCCCGCCGCCCGCCGTCGCCGCCGCACCTGGAGGAGGGCGGCGCGCGCCCCCGCCGTGACGTCACCGCACCTGGCACCAGCGGCGGGAGCCAGGGTGGCGCGGGGGCCGCGACGGGGGGGCGTGGCCGGCAGTCCCAGACCATTCTCGCGAGATTTCGCCCCAACCCCGGGGGCCCAACTCTCCCGGCTCCGGCTCGCGGATTCCAGCCGGGTCTCGAGCTGGGGTGGGGGGCGCTCGGCCTGTGAGGGAGCCGGTGCGGGGCGGGCTGTGGGCGAGAGATCCCGCCGGAGCCTCAGCGGCGACCGGAAGCGACCCCCGCGCGGGGGTGCGGGGGTGTGTGGGGGAGAGAACCCGCGGGCGAGTGCGCCCCGTGCGCACGCGCGGACGCCGCTCGCTCCCGCCTGCCGGGGCCGCGGCGGGGGCCGGGTGAAAGGAGCGGCGGAGCGCGCGCCGCGGGCGGATGGAGGCGCCTCCCCGGCGCGCCTGAGGCCGGTGCACAGAAGAGGCCGCGCGCGGGGCCGCGCTCTCCCCGCCAGAGCCGCAGCATGGGTAAGCATGGTCGCGTCGGGGGGCTCGCACGCGGGTCGGGTCGGGCCGGGCGGTCCTGTGCGGCACAGCGGGGCTCGAACCCGTGACCGACCGGCCTCCCTTGAGCGCCCCTCCGGGAGCCTGCGGCTTCGATGGGGGAGGGCGATCGCGAACTTGACAAAGTGGCGCGGGCAGCTCTGCCCCTCCGAGGCTGGGCACAGATTGGGTTTTTTTTGGGGGGGAAGAAAGAGCGCTCACACCCCCCCACGTCCATTATATGCACACACAGGCGTTTTGTCACAGATAATGGGAAGCGCAGAAACCCCCCAAGCCTCCCTTTTGCGGTTGGCTGGGGTTGGCACTGATTTGCGCCCAGGCTCGCACCTTCCCCCCTTTGACGGGTTCGTTGGGAAGCCGTTCTCCGGGCAGCCGCCCTGGTCAGGTGTGTTGGCATTCAGCAGCAGCACCTCGAGTTTCCTCCCGAGGGCTGGCTGCCTGGCTGGCTTGGGGGCTCCGCGTTCGAGGATTCCGCGTTGAACCTTTGGAGGAGCAGTTTCCTGTTTGGAGCGACACTTCCTTCTCGGAGGGGAGAAAAAGCACCGGGCCACAAGGTTGTTTTCTGTGCCTCCCTCGGCTCGGCTTTTGGACTTAGAGAAAGCCGGAGTGTGTGGCCGCGGTCTTTGAGAAGGAGTTTTGTTAAGTGGTGTAACAGTTCTTTTTTTGATAACAAAGTTGCTTCTGGGCTAGGCACTAACTCCCTCAAGTGTTTACAAATTAAAAGTCATAGTTTAAAAAAAACCCGATTAAAACTGTTTCTTCTTTTTCTTTTTAAAATCAAATTTGTGCCGCCCTAAGGCAGGAAGAGTGTGTTCAGTAAGTTGTAAAACCCGAATTTGAGTTTGTGGTATAAATCAGAAAGGCGTTCTCACTTCTCCGTTGAGACCCGGTGCTGCTTCACCCATTACTGAAATTAATAATTCATGGAACTAGCGGATGATTTAGAAGCACGACACAAACAGGAGCACTGCTGATGTGGCACCCTGTGCCCACACTTTGTTTTGTGGGAGACGAATTTAGCTAGTTTTACAGACACTGCCTATTCTGTTTTCCTAGAGTTTCTAATTTTATGCTCCCTCTGCTTCCCTCCCGCTCTATGTACCTTTTCTATACCAAGTGCTCCTCAACCCAGGAGCCAAGCGTTTGCTGTTACGGACTTTCAAATGGATTCCTTTCCACTTGATTAGTTGAGTTTACGGGGTAATTGCAGGCTTATTTAAGCATCAAAAGCTAGCTTAACTGATTTGGATGAAAAGCTGAAAGTAAGTATACAATTCTTATCTGTCCTAAGTCAGGATGCAGAATGTAATTAAGCGTCTTTTGATGGTCTAGACTCACCATTTTGTGACTTTGACTTGCTGAGAGCCCTTCTAACCACCTGGGACCTTGTATAGACTGTTGGGCCCAGTGCTAACCAGCAAACTTACTTCTTTGCACTTTGAAGTTATTTTAAGTGCGAGTTGTCCTGCTTGTTACTGAATGGGCTTGTAACTGTGACTAGTGTCAACTTTCACCGTCCTCTTTCTCATTTGTGTTTCTAAAAACCGTGGAAGTCATCTAAATTTGTGATTCATCATAGGGGAAGTCAGTTCATAACTTGAATATAAGTTGTACTTCTTTTTCTTTTTTTTTAACAAGACAGGCTCTTACAATGTAGTTCTGGCTGTCCTGGAACTCACTTTGTTGACCAGGCTAGCTTTGAATTCTCAGAGATCCACCTGCTTCCCAAGTGCTAGGATTAAAGGCATGAGCCATTCCCCTAGCTAAAGTCTTTTCTTAAGAAAAATAAATGAAAAATATTTTACCTTGTAATACCTGTATTTATTGTTCACAGGCCCTTTCTTTGCTACTTGCTTTGGTCTATTTAGGTGAGTTGCTAGCGTATCTTGGGAAAGTTAATTGTTTAGCATACTATCAATATATGCGTTTAAGGTCTATTATTTTGGGTATTTTGTCATTGTTTTTCGTATAGAATTTGTGAAACATTTGCAGATGACTATGTACTTAAAATTTGTTGGTTGTGTAATCATTAAAATCTTCTAAAATATAAAATCCTCCAAATTCCTCTAGTATATAATTTGTTTACTTTCTTACCTGCCATTGTTCTTTTTCTCCCATTTTTAAGACAAGAACTCACCTCCTCACCCTGTGGTCCAGGCTTTGAATTAAAAGTGATCTTCCTGCCTCGGCCACCTGACTGCGGGGATTATAGGTCTTAGCTGTAACATCCAACCAGTTTGTTGGCTGCAGTTCTTGTAATACATGGCAGATCCTAAGATCTCTCTCTGTTCTCTAAAAGGACTCTAATTTAGTTCTCAGCATTCCTATTCAGTGGCTTACAATTGGTTGTAACGTACAAGGGATCTGATACCCTCTTCTGGTTTCTGAGGGCAACACCTTCCTTCCCCCATAGTGCTTTTACACACACACACACACACACACACACACACACACACACACACACACACACACACACACACACACACACACACACAGAGCTCCAGATACTCAAATGTTTTATCTAGTTTGTTACAAAATAAAAATAAGTCGTTTTGCTTTGAGACAATCATGGATACTTATGAGGTGATGGTTACTTAAAGGATACATACACCCCTAATTAAGAGAGTTTCTGAAGCCTAGATCTGTGCCACTTTGAAAGTAGAAGCAGGAATTGAAGAATTGAAGGCCAGCTTTGTTTACACAGCTCATTCAAGGCCTTCCTGGTCTCTGTGAAACTGTCTAAAAAAGGGAAAAAGGGCTCTGAACAGGGACTTCCTGAGATCTTTACCTACAAGCTTTGCAACTTAGAAAGTGATTTAGCTTGTCTGTGCTTCAGTCTTCTGATCTGTGAATCAGTGAGAAGGGCCGAGTACAGGCTGTAGGAGAATGAGTGAGCTAATGAGGCTTGGAATATTGCAGGAGCAGACTTGTATGTTCAAAGATCTTTGCAGTTCACTAACTTGTAAGTGAATGCAGAGTTTTGCTTTTCAAGAGCCAGTAAGATGGTTTTATGTTAATACAGAAATTGAATTCTGTATAACTTGACAAAGTTGTTTTTCAATATTGATTACACTGTGAGAAACAATTATTCATTTGAAATATTTAATTGCTTGAGGAAAAACTTAAGAGTTTCTACTCTTAAGTTGTGTTAATGTTTTTAGTTTCTACATTGAATGTAGAGGGAAATGCCTGTCAACTTTTAAGGTGAAGGCTTTAGGAAGAAAGGATTTTAGGCAATACCTTTAAAAAAATACCCGTTTGTGTACTTTATGCATTTGGGTGTTTTGTCTGCACTGACATCTGCACAAAAGAAGAGGGCCTCAGATCCTATGGCACTGCAGTTAGATGGTTGTGAGCCACTATGTGGGCGCTGAGAATTGAACTCATGACCTCTGTTAGAGCAGTCAGTGCTCTTAACTGCTAAGTCATCTCTCTAGCTTCCAATACTTTTTTTTGCCCTCAAAAATACAGATAGTCATTTTGGACTGAAATAAGACTAAGTGAATGGCTCTCTCTCTATATTTGAAAAGGTAAGCAGATACTTAAGACTTAATGTTTCTCTTAATTTTAGATAAGAATTTAAATTTTGTTTTACTGTAGGATCTGGCTGAAACAATAAAATTTATGCTCATGAAAATAATGGAACCTTTCAGTGTCAGATAAAAATGTGTAGGTTTTTGGATTACTGTAATGACTTATGTATGGATTGTGTGTGTATACAAACTCTACTGCCCTCAAGCTGTGTGTGAGGGGGTACATGTACCCGTGCCCATATGTGGGTTCCAGAATAGGGTGCTCAGTGCTTCTTCAACCTCTTCATCAATTCCTTTGAGGCAAGGCCTTTCTCTAAACTCTGGAGATCTTGTTTTCCTGGCTGGGATTAAAGACTAAGCCTCAGCAGTTCTATCTCTGCCTCCTTGGGAGTTATGAGTGCTTGTGCTGGCCCCAGTTGGTTACGTGTGTGCTAGGATTTGAACTTCGGGCCTCAGGATTGCTGAGCAAGTGCTCTTAACTGCTGAGCTATCTCTCTAACTTCTGTGTACAGACAGACGCCTTATCTTATACACTGGTAATCTCAGGGTTAAACATTTAAGGTTTTTGATAGGCACCTGTTTTCTCACCTACTTGGGGGTGGCTGTAGGAGGTGATCATGAATTTCAGGGGAGCTTGTGTGCATAGCAAGACTGTTTCAGAAATTCATAACTGGGAGAAGTACAGATAGATACTTTTTTCCAAAAACTTGAAGGTTTTGAGGTAAAAGCAAGCATGCACTTTACCTTATTCAAGTCAGCTGAATGATTGGATCCTCTGTGGGACAGATGATTGATACTATTTTGTTTTGTTTTGTTTTGGGTTTCTTCGAGACAGGTTTTCTCTGTGGCTTTGGAGGCTGTCCTGGAACTCACTCCGTAGACCAGGCTGGTCTCGAACTCAGAGATCCTCCTGCCTCTGCCTCCCAAGTGCTGGGATTAAAGTTGTGCGTCACCAATGCCCGACTGATTGATGTTATTTTACAGCATCAAAATTGCATATAAATTTCTGCAAAAGAGTAAAATTTGTTTTGAAAGCATGTTGTGTGTGTTTAAAACACACACCAATTTACTTTTTGAGACCAAGTTTCCACTCTGTAGCCCTGACTGGCCTAGAATTCACTGTGTAGATGAGGGTTTCATTCTGAGTGGTGGGATTACAGGTGCAACCTTGCTTGGCTGAAGTTTTTAATAGAAATTTACAGTTGGTTTAGATGATAAATGTCCTTCTATAGTGACTGATTTTTTTCTTTTACTTTGTAACTAACACTATACTCATTTATACAGATAATATTTGTAAGCATAGATATCTTATGATTTACCAGCATAAAAAAGAAAAGCTTTCTTTCAAAGATGAATCAGCAGTCTAAGCCTACTCTTTAATTAGAGTTTGCTTCGTTCATGATCAGATTATTAAAACTTTTTAAAGTTTGA